GGGGGGGGGGGGGGGGGGTCCAAATTTCTACCCTTAAACACTTCAACGCTCCTTTCAGATCGTGTTTCACAAAATATTGTCTCTTGAATTGTGAAGATGCATGAAAAAGATATTTTTATCAACATCTCATCTGTTTTTTCATTAAAAAAGCATATGTGTAAACAGCATAGGACACTACACTAAAACCTTTTTAAGCGTGTTTTTACTATTCAAAGGCAACATTTTTATATCAAGATATCAAAATTTATGTCGATTTTTACGCAAGAATGCAAATAATGAGCTAGACTTAGTCTATTTTTTGCAGCCGTCGCTTGTGAGAGACAAATTTCATCCCTAATAGATTGTTCGGGTAGAAGCTAGAACTCTTTAATGTCACAAGCACTGTCTCACTCTACAAAGATGCCTGTATCCTCTCAGCGAAACACAATAAGTCTGCTAGAATGAACCACAAGTGTCTTATCATAGAATCCATTGAAACAGTAACAGTAGCTTGACACAAAATAACAAAATCTACTTGAATTAGGATTGTAGAAGTCAACGTTTGCATACTCATCGAATAGACTTGTACAAATAGACTGGAAACCTCAAGAAAGGCGACTGTATGAAACGGTTCGAAACTTTTGATCAGATAAAATGTAGCAGCTGCTAAGATTTGAAACACAAGTAGCAAAAAGGAGAAAAACGAGGAGATTATCAGAAAAAGGAGGTCAAGGAGGAGCCGTTTCGCAAAAAAGGAGAAAATGGAGGGAAAGGAGGAGCATTCACATGCCAGGTGATATATTGAACAAACAGAAAATTAAATTTCTAATTGTGATCTGAATTAAAATTGATTTCATTCGTGCTTCTTCTCATTCGAATTATCATAATACATTTAGAACAATGAAAAAAAAAATCAAAGCACATATGAGAGTTGTTTTTTTCATTTCTATTCCCTAGACTGAAAGGCTAGGGTCTAGAAACCGTAATTCACGTGTGTCTGTATGTCCGTCTGTCTGTCTGTGTGTTTGTCTGCCTGTAACAAAGGGGTTCGCACAAATAACCATTTCTATGGTACAAATTACCATTTCTATGGTACAAATTACCATTTCTATGGCACAAATTACCATTGCTATGGCACAAATGACCAATTTTATGCACAAATGACCATTTCTATGGTACAAATGACCATTTGTATGGCACAAATTACCATTTCTATGGTACAAATGACCATTTCTGTGGCACAAATGACCATTTTTATGTTACAAATGACCATTTTTCTGGCACAAATGACCATTTCTATGCCACAAATGGCCATTTCTTTGGCACAAATGACCATTTCTGTGCCACAAATTGCCATTTCTATGGTACAAATGACCATTTTTATGGTACAAATGACCATTTCTACGGCACAAATAATCATTTCTATGGTACAAATGACGATTTCTGTGGCACAAAAGACCATTTCTATGGTACAAATGACCATTTCAGTGGCACAAATGGCCATTTCTGTGGCACAAACAACCATTTCTATGGCACAAATGACCATTTTTATGCTACAAATGACCATTTCTGAGGCACAAATTACCATTTCTATGGTACAAATGACCATTTCTGTGGCACAAAAGACCATTTCTATGGTACAAATGACCATTTCAGTGGCACAAATGACCATTTCTGTGGCACAAACAACCATTTCTATGGCACAAATGACCATTTTTATGGTACAAATGACCATTTCTGTGGCACAAATTACCATTTTTATGGTACAAATGACCATTTCTGTGGCACAAAAGACCATTTCTATGGCACAAATGACCGTTTTCGTGGTACAAATGAGCATTCTTGTGATACAAAGTGCCATAATCATGGTACAAGTGACTGTTGCTATAGTGCAAAGTATCGTGAGTCGTGATAAAACTGACCATTTATTTTGGCATAATTGACCATTCTTGTGGCTCAGATCAGTTTCTACGTAGCAATCAACCATTTCTGTGGCACAGTTGATCAT